CACTTTTAAAATAATTTAGTTACCTTTTTTAACAGAAGCTAGGCCTCATCCTCAGAGCTCTCAAGCAGACACAGTATGTAGAAATAATTTAATAACATGTTTTTATTTATATATGTTATTAATTTAAGTGAAACAGATAAGATATAATTGTCCTCTTATGTTAATAATAGTCAAAAGCTATGTGTACTTACCAGGGGCCAGGATGTATTTTAAGTGTTTAATGTATATTAACCCCTTTAGTCTTCAACACAACCCTATAAGATAGACCTATTATTATTCCTATTTTACAGATGCAGAAGCTGAGTCAGAAAAAGGTGTAAATAGCGTGCCAGGCTTGCCCAGTTAGTCAGTGTTAAAGCCTGGATTCCAATCCTGTTATTCCGGCTCTAGAATGTGGGAGTTAATCACATGCCATCCTGGCCCTCTAATCAGTGGCCACTTGTGACGTGGGATGGGTGTCTTGCTTGGGCTCCCCTCACTTCAGCAAGGGGATTCATTCTAGCCCCAGAATCAGGGCTCTGGTTAAGTCCAGCTTGGCCATATTCGAGACCTAAGACCAGGGTCAAATCATTCTCTGAGCTTCTGTTTTCTCGTTGTTAACAAGAAAGCAAATAGTAATACCTACCTTTCTGGGCTGTTAGAAATGTAAGTTCAGCTTTGACAAATGATAGAATGCTCTCCAGATGTTCTTCTAAACAGAGAAAGGAACACGACAGCGGCAAATGAAGGACCTGGTTCGCACATGTCTCCTTCGTTTGCTGCCATGAGAAACTGAGGGGGTTACCACTGGAACTTTCACTTGTCCTATCTATGAAATAGGAGTTAAAATGGTACTGCTCTGAAGGAGATTTATTTTATATGCTATTCAAGAATCTCTAGGTTAGTGATCTGTGTCTTTGAGTGACACAGCTATTTTCAGAGATGAAACTGAATGGCCTCATGTCACTAGTTTTTAAAATCTCCATTTTTGAGAAATATTTTTTAAAGTTTTCGTATTATAAAGTTAATTCATACTTCATTCTAGAAAAGCACTAAATATAGTTAATGAAAAAGAAGGACTGTCATTAACACCTTGGTCTATAACCTTTCTGAGCTTTTTTACATATACAGGTTGAATATCCCTTACCTGAAATGCTTGGAACCAGAAGTGTTTCAGATTTTGATTTTTTTTTTTTTACTTTTGGAATATTTTCATTAGATTTATCTATTGGTTCAGCATCCTAAATTTGAAAATCCAAAGTCCAAAGTCATGCTCTCATGAGCATTTCCTTTGAGCATCATCTTGGCGCTCAAAAAGTTTTAGATTTTAGAGTATTTCAGATTTCGGATTTTCTTTTCTTTTCTTTTTCTTTTTTTTTTTGAGACAGAGTTTCGCTCTTGTTACCCAGGCTGGAGTGCAATGGCGCGATCTCGGCTCACCGCAACCTCCGCCTCCTGTGTTCAGGCAATTCTCCTGCCTCAGTCTCCTGAGTAGCTGGGATTACAGGCATGCGCCACCATGCCCAGCTAATTTTTTTGTGTGTGTTTTTAGTAGAGACTAAAAACACCATGTTGACCAGGATTGTCTCGATCTCTTGACCTCGTGATCCACCCACCTCAGCCTCCCAAAGTGCTAGGATTACAGGCATGAGCCACAGCACCCGGCCCAGATTTCGGATTTTCAAATTAAGGGTGTTCAACATACACATATATACATATATGTGCAAATATTTTATTTTTAAAAATGAAAATGAGATCAGATCAAACATATGGGGTTATTTTTAGTGTTGTTCATTTTAAGGAGACAGAGTCTTACTCTGTTGCCCAGGCTGGAGTGTAGGTGCTCAATCTCAGCTCAGTGCAGCCTCAACCTCCTGGGTCAAGTGATCCTCTTGCCTGAGCCTCCCAAGTAGTTGAGACTACAGGTACACACCATCACATCCAGCTAATTTTTTAATTTTTTTCTCTAAAGACAAGGTCTCAATCTGTTGCTCAGGCTGGTCTCAAACTCCTGGATTCAAGCGATTCTCCCAGCTTGGCCTCCTACAGTGCTAGGATGACATGCACGCACCATCACGCTGAGCCAAACATATGACTTTGAAACTACCTATTTCACTTAAATCTGTTCTACTCTCCCTTACCTTAGTCCATGTCTCTTCCTAAGAGGCAAACTTGCTTGCTTCTGAAGAGGAAACATTGAGGTTTCAATAGCAAACTCTAGCTTCCCTCGTTCTGAAGATTGTAAACGACGGGTCTTATGACAGCTGTCAAGAGCCATTAGTGTAACAAGATATCACTCCAAAGTCAGAGGGAAAATCCTTTTGTCTTTATGGAGTTTGATCCCTTTGTATATTTGGGGCCTCATCAAAGGGGAGTTTTGAGATAGTCTTGCTTGTTTTCCACATAAAACTCAGAAAATTGCTTGATTTAAAATGCAACTTTTGTTTCCTCTTTTCATTTGTCATTTCTGAAACATTTTTTAAAAGTGTTAAAACTAATGTTAAAACTACACTGCCATGTAGTAATAGTATTTTAGGTAGATGAAAATGCATCCTGGTAGAGAAACAAAGACACAGTTACAGTCAATGGAAATGGAAGAGGGGTAGATGTTGCTTCTGGTCTCAATCAATCTGATCTTATCTAATTTAACCAATTAAGCAATTTTGAATTTTGTAATTGTTCTAATGGGGAACCAGTGGAGACATTATGTTATTCTAAGCATGTTTTGTTATGATAACACGGGCCTTTAAAGATTTTTTTATGTCTTTTATTTTGAAAGTTTTGCACGTATTTGAAGTCTTGCCTGGTGGCCAAACCCTAGCGTTCTGTGGCTCTGTGGAAACGGACTCACCTCCTGCTCCTGGTATCCCACTCCCTCTGGCTTTAATTAATACCATACATAAAATTCCTACTCTCCAGCCAAACCACATCGGCTGTGATCTTGTCAGTTCTTATAAGCCAAAGAGAAACACATGCTCTTTCTTGTTATTGTTCAATCGTCTGCATCAGCTATTTAATTTCCAGAGGTACCTCATCTTGCTGTTTTGTGTTCCCCTTTCCTCCTTTCTGTTTATTTATTTGCTTTTTATGTTTTTTATTCCCAGAGAAAACTATAGGTAACAAATTTTGTGAATCTAATTCTGAAGGTTTTAATGGCAGATGTCTCAGTTCCTGGCAATCTGCTCTTTCTAAATTATAGCACAAGAACGATGAAGAATTTAAAAAGCTAACCTAGCATAACCTAGAGAGGGGTTTTAATTCGAACTAGAGCAACAGCTGAGAACCAGCACAGTCTCAACCATTCTCAGATGTACGTAACAGGTTGCATTGCTTCTAAGTATTCAACCCCTCTGGGCTGGGCCCAGTGGCTCACACTTATAATTCCAGCACTTTGGTAGGCTGAGGTGGGAGGATCACTTGAAGCCAGGCATTGGAGGCCAACCTAGGCAACATAGTGAGACCCTGTCACTAAAAAATTTAAAAAAAAATTTGACAGGTAATGTGCACTTGTAGCTCCAAACTACTTGACTTGAGAGGCTGAGGCAGAAGGATTGCTTGAGCCCAGGAATTCAAGGTTGCAGTGAGCTATGATCACACTGCTGCATTTCAGCCTGGGTGACAGAGTGAGATCCCAACAACAAAAAATGTATCAGGATTATATAATAATGCTTTTGTTGTTCTTGAAGTATGCAAAAAAAATTGTGAGTCACAGACTACTAAGTCTGGCAGTAGCCTCTGTTTAAGGACTGAAGCAAGCATACTTATATACAAGTACCTCTACTCATGGACCACATCTGTACCTACCTGCCTTACTCCCTTTTATGTAATGGCTCAGAACCCGCTTGTCCTTGTAGACATGATACTCAAACATGTGTACAAATCATCCCCATCACCATAACCATAACATCACCCAAATCCTGCTCGTTTCACTGACACCACCGGCAGCATCCTCCAAATACAAAGCTTATGTGCTGCCTATGTTATTGATATTGCAATAGTGTGTCATTTCTTAGTGCCCTTGCAAACATTTCTGGTACTTTAGTGCTTGGGTTTGGTTTCTTTCTTTCTTTTTGTCTTGCTAAGTACAAATTCTATATACTGTGATAAAGGAATGGAAAGAAACTGTGTACTTCTTTCCAGCGAACTTCTCTTGAGCTGGTAGAAACAAACTTGTTGAAAATCTTTAAATTCCCTGGCTTTCCTGTGAAAGGAATTTCACCTCTAATGCAGCATTAATGGGGTTTTGCACTGAATTGCCTTTTGGGGTTTGATTTGCCTTTTAGAGACGCTGGTGTTTGACTGCATGTTCAAACACAGCATGTATTCTTATGAGCGATGTGAGATTCAAATAAACACAACGAGTGTGTTCATTTTGATGACCTCCCCATCACACATTCAAATAAACACAAATGTTCTCAAATGTATAAAAGCAGCTGTGTTTATGTCAGCGTGCAAAGCACCAGATATATACATTCAGATTCACTCATCTATCTGGAACCATGTACCTCCACTCGTCGTTAAAATTTAGTGGAAAATCATGCATGGGGCATGTGTAATGTGCAATTTTCAACCATACACACATCTCTAAACAAATTTTCTTCAAGCATGTTACTGACATTTGTTCTAATTGAGGATGAAGCCTGGAGAAACTTTGAAGTTTCTGAAAACAAAACAAAGCAAAATGCAAGTTGCTACCAGAGGGCATGGCGTATCTAAAGTATTCTAGCAGAACCAGAAAGTAACCTTCCCTGACATTCAGAACAACCTTCTTTGCCTTTCTTTTATTTTTTTCTTCTTCTCTTCCCTACTTTTATTTCCTTTCCTCTCTTCCTCCCTTCTTTCTTTCGTTTAAGCAAAACTAAGAAAAGTTCTTCCTTCCCCCTCCACTTTTCCTCCCTGTCTTTCTTCTTATTTTTTTCTTCCTAGCAAAGTCATGCAAAATGCCAGCTCAAGAGTTAGGGGTTTTTTTCTTGTTTGCTTTAAATATCATAAATATGAGAAATGACAAATCTTTTTTTCAGAACCTCAGCTGGAACAGCTCAAGTATTAATGCCAGGTTAAGCTGCACTTTCTGCGTAAGAACCAACTTTGGCTTTGCAGGTCAGACTGAGACAACACTTCCATCTTGCATTGCTTCAAATGTAAGTACAGTTTGCGGGTCTCCAGGAAAATCCCCAGGCTCCATTTTCCTGGCAAATAGTCATAAAAAGAACACGAATAATACCTAAAGTTGATTGAGATCTACCTAAGAGCCAGGCACTGTTCTAAACATTTTGAATATTTGATCTCATTTAATTCTCAACCACCCTCTGAGAGGGGGACTCTTACTATCTTCATGTTATGCATGAGGAAGGACGAAGAGCTAGTCTTCTCAAGGTCACAGCACCAGTAGGTGATGGGGCCTGATGGACATGCAAGTTCCAGACCTCTTGGTTTTTTAAAGAATCTGTAAATCTAAATATTCACAAATGATATCCCGATTTTTAAATGTTAGCAAAAATTTTAAAATTGTAAGAAACTCTCTGCTGAACAAATCACATTTGGTGCCTAGATTAAACTCTCGGGTTGCCAGTTTGCCTCCTCTGATTTAGGGGATACTGTCTCCAGTTTTTCAGTATTACAAAAACCTACTATGAAGAACTAGTTCGATGAATAGAAAGAGAGTAGGATTTGGAGCCAGATAACTAATATTCACATGTGAACTCTAACAAATGATTCCTAATTAAATGATCTTGAACAAGTAACTTAGGTTTCCTCATCTGCAAAACAAAGATAATTCCTGCCTTAGGAGAGGTATTATAGGATTCATGCAATTCTCATAGTTCTTATGAAATATTTCCATTAAAGCATTTTGTAAACTCTGAGCTTTATACAATTAGAAACTATGGTTATTATTATCTCCTTACATCTGAATATGAATGGAAAGACATGCACATTTACTGAACAGGAGGCATTGTGCCAGCACATTGACCTGCAAAGTTCACCAACAGTGGCTTTAACCCTTTTATAGATGAGGATTTTGTGACTCAGAGAGATTAAGGACATTTCCAAAGGGTGTTAGACTAGTAAGAAGTGAAACTAAAATTCACGGAAATTTATTTAATTCCAAAACCCATGGGTCTCCCTACCCCAAATCCTTGGCAGCGCCTAATATATTAAGCTTCTATCAGTCATTACAATTTTAGTGGGAACCAGTTTATAAGACTTGTCAAAGTGTCAGCTTAGGATCCTGGTAGAACAAAGCCCGAGGTCAGTAACTAGGGATAAGGAAAGGAAGACACATACAATCCAGGGAACAGAGGCAAGCACAGGGCTGGACTGGCCCCATGGTAGACACTCCTTCATGCTGGGCCTGGGGATGTTAGATGCCTAAAAAGAGAAACGAGAGTCCCATCATTCCTCTCCCCTTCCTCTCCAGAGCAAGTCACCTGGGGGACCAAGCTCTGTCCTGCCTGTTGCTGTGCATTCAGCTGCTCCGGAGAGGCCTGTGCTGCTGAGAACATGTTGGGAAGTCAGTCCAATTGTGCCATTTGCTACTATAAAGCTTACTTGGGGCTAGGTATGGTGGCTCATGCCTATAATCCCAGAACTTTGGAAGGCCAAGGATGGCAGATTGCCTGATTTCAGGAGTTTGAGACCAGCCTGGGCAATATGGCAAAACCCCATCTCTACCAAAAATACAATTAGCCAGGTGTGGTGGCACACACCTGTAATCTCAGCTACTCAGGAGGCAGAGGCAGGAGAATCACAAGAACCTGGGAGAAGGAAGTTTCAGTACACTGAGATTGTACCACTGCACTCCAGCCTGGGCAACAGAGCGAGACCCTGTCTCCTCCCACCAAAAAAAAAAAAACCCTACTGAGCCGCAGATAAAAGCCACATTTGCAGATACTTGCTTCTTCCGTCTGGGGTTGATACTTGGGCCCCTCCTGCCTTGTCTCTTTGGGTTATATCTTAGTTGGGTCAGAACTCGTGCAAGAAGAGGGGTGTTGTCTTAGGGTACCCTTAGATCCCAACACCAGCTTGAGGGGATGAACTTTGGAGTCTCCTGCGTAGTTCACTTTCCAGGCCACCTTTAAATGAGTGTAAAACTTCCTCTTTACTTGAGGAATTTTAGGACTAAAAATGTTGCCATTTCTTGAGTGCAAGCCCAGGAGTCAATGGCAACCTGGGAAAAATGATTTGCTTCTTTGTAAATGTCTTTTGGCTGTAGTGAGTCTCTTTAAGGGTAGGATCTTTACAACATAGGGACTCTTTTTCTGGAGTTCAGTGACCCATGGGGGAGGGGTGGCTTCTTTACAGCTAATTTCTGTTAAAGCTCTAGTTCTAATTCTCTTTCAGTCATTAAAGAGGAAAGAAATTTAACATGGCGGGTGTAACGAATATCCAGCCCCACGGAATTGTAGAATGGATGGTTTCCCCAGCAGATTCAACAGTGGTAACGATAACAATAATCAATACAAATTAGGGACATGCTTCTGTTTTAATGCACTTAGTAACCAGATCTCTTGTCCTCAAATAAGTCTAAAGGAGAACTCTGTTCTCCTAACCAACCAGAGTGCTGTTGTGAAGGAGGTGTGTATGTGTGTGTATATGCATGTGTGTGTGTGCGTGTGTGTGTGTTCCTTTTTCTCCCAGGGATCCTATAGCTTCCTTCATTCTTCGCCTCTCTCATATTACAGAAAGAAGGTAATTTTTCCTGGCCATTTACTAAAGCTCATTAAAGACTGGAGAGAACAAACAATGCTACTCCTCAGAGACTACCATTCAAAGTCACTCTGCAATTCTCTGTTCTAATACTTGAGACAAATTAATTATTCCTTAGTGAAAAGTGTATAATTCCTATTCTTCATTTTTGGGGGTGGGGAATAATAATGGGAGGTTTATATCTGAGTGAAAAGCTGTCTGTGCTGAAGGGAAATGAGAAAAAATGTGTGTTCTAAGCAGAGTAAAAGCAATTATTCTAATAATAATTCTAAGAATATTAATGTCTTTTTAAAGTAGATTGCCTTCAAATAAACACAGAGGTTGAAGCAATGGGAGGCTGGTTTGTTTATTAATCATTCCAAATGTGCATTCTTCTAAATGAACAACTGCACGATCAACTTTGCTGGCACATATTAAATTTAGTTAAACAGCAACTTGCAAATGTCTCAAAACTTTTGTAACCAGAGACTAATTTGCTTAACACATTTAAAATGTTATATTGATGTAAAGTCCCACATATTAAACTTCAAAGGGAAAAGCTCTTGAAAGTTCCTCATTTTTAACACTGCATGCTGGAAATGAGATGGAGACAAGGCTCATTCTCCATTCTCTTGTTTTGTTTTGTTTTTAAATACAAGGCAGTCTCTGGGCCCTGGCCCTCATCCTCAGCACTGTGTTTGGTCATCTGCAGAACAGCAAGCATCTAACTGTGGGGACTGTAAGGCGATGGTTTAGAAAGGTCTAGTGTTTCCCTTTCATCTCTATTAATTAATCCTGGCTCCGTTTGCCCAGAGTACGTTGCTGTTGACATCACCTTTTCCTTACACTTTAAAGAGTCCCGAGAGAGACCGGCTGCAGAACAAAACTGGACAAAGAGTACATTTGGTAACCATTTTATTTCTCAATTACCAACCTAAACGTATGGAAAAGATTTGCTCGCTATCCGATTTACACAACAATTATGCTTCAAAAGTTTAGAAATAAATAACTTTTTTCTTGGACTCATTAGTTCGTCTACCAATTGTAATTGGTGTCAACTAACGAGTTTGCTCCATGGCTTGCCCTTAATTACTGATAAAAGCTAAATTGCAACTCTAGCCAATCAGAAACTAGTTTATTCATGAGAGTATAGTATTCTTTTAAAAGCTCTGTTTGTCCTAATAAGTGGTTTTGTGTTTGGCTGAAACCTTCCATAAGCCCCTTAACATAAGCAAAGGACTCTTAATAACTATATACAGTGAAGGAATATCATTACAGCCTCCATTCAAACAGATGAAACAAAGGGAACGTTTAGTACATTTCAAATGTACACATCATGAATTTAGCAGACCCTGAAATCTCATCCATCTGGTGGGAAATAGATATTAGTACCCTAAAGACTGATACTGAGAATTTGTTTCCTCTCCCAGTGTCTATGTTTTTTTCAAGGTCTCCCTAGCCTTCTGAAACAGGCGGTAAGGAACAGGAAAAACCCAATAGAGGCATGAGGCATGTTAAATCCTAATGGTATAAACAAGACTTGGCCAAGGCCAAAATCCCACATTAAAAATAATAGGCATTCTGGAAACAAGAGTGTTAAGAGATAGCATGTGGTGGAATCATCCTGCCAGGGAGGCCTTGCTACCAGGAAAGCCTAATTGCAGAAACATCATCCTGAAGACAGCCCTGTTTGTGGTCGTTGTTGTTGTTTTCAGAAAACAAAATAAAACTCTTCAGGATTATTGGAAATTCTGAAGACTGGTTCTTATTTTATAATAATTAGGATGCTTTTGGCTGCAATGATCAGAAAACTCAGTTAAAAGTGACTAGACTGTAATTCCAGCACTTTGGGAGGCCTAGGTGGGTAGATCACCTTAGATCAGGAGTTTGAGACCAACCTGGACAACATGGTGAAACCCCATCTCTACTAAACATACAAAAATTAGCCAGGCTGGTGGTGTGTGCCTATAATCCCAGCTACTCAGGGGTCCGAGGCAGGAGAATCACTTGGAGCTTGGGAGGCGGAGGTTGCAGCGAGCCGAGATTGCGCCACTGCACTGCAGCCTGGGCAACACAGTGAGACTTCGTCTAAAAAAAAGAAAAGCCAGGCGCGGTGGCTCATGCCTGTAATCCCAGCACTTTGGGAGGCCGAGACAGGCGGATCACGAGGTCAAGAGATCAAGACCATCCTGGCCAACATAGTGGAACCCTGTCTCTACTAAAAATGCAAAAAAATTAGCTGGGCGAGGTGGCGCACGCCTGTAGTCCCAGCTACTCGGGAGGCTGAGGCAGGGGAATTGCTTGAACGCGGGAGGCGGAGGTTGCGGTGAGCCGAGGCTGCTCCACTGCACTCCAGCCTGGCGCCTGGTGACAGAGCGAGACTCTGTCTCAAAAAAAGGGGGAGGGGGATGGTGGCGGGGAGGAT